CTACTACTACTACTACTATAATAGTATGCTCCATATAGGGTGTGATTGGCCTTGTGTGGGCCATCGTACGCTCGCCAGGCGGCCGAAGAGACACCCGATTCCGCCCAAGGGGAGGCCGAGGCAGTTTTAGGGATGCGTTCCTTCAAGGGAACGTGGCAGATCGTGGTTTAGATCGAAGGTCCGCCTTTCGTTCAACATCTTCTTCGGGTTTATAGTTTACACCTGGACCCTCAAGAACCTACATGTTTAAGGACTCATATCATTAGGTTTTAGGGTTTAGGGTTTAGGGTTGGATAAGCTATAATAAGGATCCCCCAAAAAGGTAGGTCTTACAGGGTCCAGGCAGGGTTTAGGGATTGCGAACCCCCCCTTGACAAACTGCAGCCCAACACGCTTTAAGCTTAAGTCGAATAGCACCGATCTATCCCATGGCCCCAAACCTTGTGTCCCGAGCCTATCATCAAATCCTATATCCCGTGAGAGTCTACCAGCCCCCAGCAAGTATACCCCGAATCTCATGAAAAGCCTTCTGCCAGTATTACTTCCCCCGCATCAAACCGTAGCCCCAACCTTCTCAGAAGCGCCTTTGATGGTTTCTAGATTCTGCTTCCAGCTAATGTCTTGTACGGAGTTCCTAACTGACTCTATTATAAGTTCCCCGAGGTTTCTTGATGCAGGTATAAAAAAAGAAGCCTGGCCAAAGCCGTAGTATACCTCTTCAGGCCTTCATATCATACCCGTATCACGGATCCCTTGAACCAGACAGAAGAAGGCCCAAAGCTGATACCCTAAACCCTAAACCCTAAACTCCTACCCTAAACCGTAAACCCTAAACCCTAAACCCTAAACTCCTACCCTAAACCCTAAACCCTAAACCCTAAACCCTAAACCTCACAATCAGGGCCCCCGAGCCCTCCAAGGAGGCAACATGGAAATGAAGTGAGGCTTGGACCCTCCAAAACAGTAGCCCGGTGAAGACAAAGGGGTCTAGGGTTTAGGGTTTAGGGTTTAGGGTTTAGGCCTTACGTTGCTCCTTATCTAGATCACTAAGTAGTTGCCAATAATATATTCCTTAGTGTTCCTTAGTAGAATCATACTGCAAAGGAGCCCAAAGCCCTATTCCAAGTATTCAGGCCCCTCCATTAAACCAAAGCCCTAAACCCTAAGCCCTAAACCCTAAACCCTAAGCCCTAAACAGGATGTGAAGGGCGCATCCAACAAGATCCAGGAGGCCTCATGAGCAAAAAAACAGGGGCCTTGAGGGTTTAGGGTTTAGGGTTACAGGGGCCTTAGTGATCAGACTAGGGTTGTGGGTTTAGGGTTTAGGGTTTAGGGTTTAGGGTTTAGGGTTTAGGGTTTAGGGTTTAGGGTAACTTATAACAAGGAACCCCCAAGAATATTATAGGTAATAACTAAGGCCCCTGTATTGCCGAAGCTTAGGGAGTGCGTGCTTTGCGGTTCAGGACTTCGGGTTTAAGAATTTAGGGTTCAGGATGTAGACAAAGATTACAGGGTGTAGGCTCGAGGGTGTGGTGTTGTTGGGGGTTCAAGGGTTTTAATATTTAAGACGATGGGACCTTAGTCGAGGGTGTACAGTGTAGAGTTTTTTTGGTGGACGAAGGGACCTTGAAGTTTCCCAGATTAGGGTTTAGGGTTTAGGGTTCAGCTAAGCTCTGCCTTGTCGTTGGGTTGAGCGTGGTTTGGTCTTGTGGGCTTTAGGGTGTAGGCTTTAGGGATTCAGGGTTTATGGTTTGGGGTGGAGGAGTCACTTTGGGATCGAGGGTTTACCTATAGGCTCCATTGTGGTTCCTTTTTTTGGTTTAACCAAATGTATATTTAGGATCCTATAAGGTGACCCCCAAAAGGAACTACAATGGAGACTACAGGTAGGGCACAACTATCCCCTAGGGAGTCATGCCAGTCATGTCCCTCCGAGCCCCGTAGCTCACCGTGCAGAGCAGATCCCGTAGTAGCGCCCTTATATGAGACCCCTAAACCCTAAAGGCTAGAAGCCATGAATCCTAAACCTAAGCCCAAATCGTACGCCCTAAATCCTAAGCCCTACATCCTAAACGCTAAATCACGAAATCCTCAACTTTACCTATAGTCTCCATTGTAGTTCCTTTTTGAGGGATTACCTTTTTATTATAGGATCCTAAATAAATAAATAAATAAATAAATATATATATATATATATGGTTAAACCCAAAAAACAGAACTAGTCTAGGGCCTATGGGTAAACCCCTTCAGGGAACCTTGCCCATAGGCCCTAAAGTAGTTCCCTTTTGGGGTTCATAGATGGCATCCTATAAGGTAACCCCAAAAAGAAACTACTATGGGGCCTATGGGTAGGGAGATGCAGGCTCCAGATCGGTTTTGTCGTTGTTGCTTGGGTGCCTCGTTGGTTGGGGCAGCCGTAGCCTCAACCTAAGATCTAAGGGTCTAAGTGGGTGGTTGTCAAAATTATGGCCCCTTTTTGGGTCCTTGTTATAATACGGCACTTATTATTTAGGGTACCCCAAATGAGACCATAATTTTGACAACTACCCAAGTACGAAGTACCACATACGCCCTCAGCCCCAGAGCCTCTAAGCCCTACACCTTACAAGCCCTACCTAAACCCTGAACCCTAAGCCCCAAACCCTAAACCCTAAACCCGATACCGGATAAACCCTAGAAGTCCTGTCATCCCTGAACCCTAAACCCTCTAAGCCCTAAACCCTAAACCCTTAACCCTCAACCCTAAACCACAAACCCTACAAACCCTGTAAGCCCTATAACCCCCCCAAAAAAGCCCTGTCATCTCCGAGCCCTAAACCCTAAACCCTAAACCCTAAACCCTCAACCCTCAACCCTAAACCACAAACCCTATAAGCCCTATATACGCCCTATAAACCCCCAAAAAAACCCTGTCATCCCCGAGCCCTAAGCTCTAAACCCTAAACCCTAAACCCTATAAGCCCTATAAGCCCTGTCATCTCCGAGCCCTAAGCCCTAAACCCTAAACCCTAAACCCTATAAGCCCTATAAGCCCTGTCATCTCCGA